TATCAACAATAACATCGTTTATGGGATTATCTGATCAGCTTGATGGAGTTCAGATCCCTAGCCTTGAAAGTCAAGAATTTCATTTTCCTTCAGTCACTGATCCATTCAAGGTTCCATTACATTTTATGGATGGTATTGTATGTTGATGACAGACCGTTTGCATTCATCACACATCATGTAACTGATCTTTTTTATTTATTATTTATTTTATATATGAATTGATAGCCAACAGTATCATTTACTATTGGATCACCTCCACAATCAGTAGTAGGTGTATTTGATACGGCCACTTTGATATCATGGGTTATGTCAGACAAAGTAAGTATGATCATCCTTCTTTTCATCAAGAGTTTTATATAATCTGCTTACCAGTTGAATAATTGTTAGTGTAATTCCACTGTTTGCTCTACGGTAGAAAATAAATTCAGTCGAGAAAAATCATCAACAAACACTGCTTTGGATTACACTATTGGAATTAAATATGTGGATGGAAGCTTTGTTCGTGTCAGACCTGAACTGGTACAGTATGATATTTTTTTTTAAAAAAAGGAAAAGAAAAAGGGAGATCCAGTAAAAAAAAAAAAAAAAAAAAAAAAAGGAAACTCGCTCACTCTGTCATGCATTTTTTTTTTCTTTCTTCTATCCATTATTCAAAGGATACATTGACCTTGTTGGAATCATCCATTTCGTACCCAGAACATCTCATAGGAGAGGCATATGAAGTTTATTATCCAAAAGGATATCCAACTGCTGCAAGTAAAGTAGACTTTTTTTTCCCTTCTACTTACTGCCATCGTCCGGATGACAAAAAAAAAAAAAAATAACTTACCTTTTTTTTTTTTTTTTTTTTTTTTTTTTTTTTTTTGGAAAGATGGTCGTTTAGGTGTAGGAGACTTTGGTGTCTTTCAAAAATACCTAGATGATGCCCAAGGTAAGATGAAATGAATAGGATTATGAATCATCTCTCAAAAATGGAAATCAAAATGGAAATCTGACAGCGTTGTTTATCTTGTAGGCTTGATCCAAGGAGTTGATAAAATTGTGAATGGTATTTTGATGAGAGCAGGTAAGCAAGGTTCCAGTTTTGATGATGATTAAATGTTGATTGAATGATGATGTTGATTGAATGATGATGTTGATTGAATGATGATGTTGATTCCATGATGATGTTGATTCAATGATGACGATAACTAATGATATAAATATAATTAACTAACTGCTTTACTTCTTCTTCTTTTTCCTAATGATCTTCCAGTGGGTGATGATCGAACATCAAGTGGTTACGCAGCCTCTGGTTCTCCAGACTTTAAGAAAAGAGATGGCGTTCATGCTCCATTTTATTGGACATTAGGCAGTGATCCTTCCAAGTATACTGGTAAATTATATGATCTACCACTTGCTTCTGTTAGTCTTAATGTACTGTCTCCATTTTGGAAGTTGAATATGCATGGTATTAAATTGATCCCCTACCAACAGCCTCAAGATGACGATAACAATCAAAACGATACGGAAAATAAAAAAAACATGCTTCCAAAGCAATCATCCGCTTTATTGCGGCTTACATTATCAGATACATCTTTTGGTTCTATCGATAGTAGCACCCCTTATATTCATTTGCCCAAACATCTCTCGCAAGCATTAAATCAAAGACTGGGTGCACAATATGATAACTCTCTGAAATTGTATACGATTCCTTGTGAACGTAAAAAAATCGAACCTCTATGGCTTATATTTGAATTGGATGGTGTGGATGCTTTGATTCCTGCTCATCAATATATGATTGAACGTCATAAAAAGTGTCATACAGCAATTGTCGATAGTGATGATGATGATCAAGTTCATCTTGGTGGTCCTTTCTTTAGATCGTTTTACTTGGAATATAGATTGACGGCAAAGGAAGTAGGTATTGCTGAAAGTACAGCTAAATTGGGTCTTTTACGACCACCATCCAAAACTGGCTCTTATGATTTACTGAATGTGGATCTTAATGAAATGGAAGTACCAATTTAAAAAAAGAAAAAAAAAGATGCCAAGCTGATTCAACAGTATCTGTACCACATCCCTTTTTTAAATGACTGACTTTTATCCACCAATAGATGATTAGTAAATATTTTAGATAGTTTAGTATAGTCTTCAAAAGTTATTTAAATATATGTACCACAATTGATAACTATAAAATAGAGCAAAAAATAAAAAATAAAAAAAGAATTGCCAACTTAGTATTATTTTATCATGTCATCCAATCAATTAACTCTTCCTACTGCTCAACGTCAATATTATTCGTTGTTTTCCGATGATTATTCTTGAATTAATCGTCTTATGCATGAAAACTTAATTCAGTCAAGTTTGACGTGTTCTTTTTGTGGCAAAAATTGGAGCATCTATCCAAGAAAAAGAGCTACAAAGATAGCTCATGTTTGGAAATGTAGTCCATGCAATACAGAAGTTGGTTTTATTTCAATTCTGTATTCAATTACTCCAACTTCACTCCAAAGCAAATCATGGATTTGATTTACTTGTGGGTCACAAGTAATGTTGTTGTCTTTTTTTTTAAAAAAAAGGAAGTTATATATAATAGTACTAACTCTTTATTTATTCAACCTATAGGAAATAATCAGTATATTGGAGACATTGCTAAAGCAGCTGGATTGGAACGGCACTCGATTAGCAAGATGTACAATAAGTTAGGAATGCAATCATTGAAGTAGTTGACTTTGATGATTCTACCTGGGATAACAAGATTGGTGGTCCTAATACTATTGTTGAAATAGATGAAGCCAAGTTTAGCAAAAGAAAATTTAATCAAGGAGCAAGAAGAAAAGAAAGTGGGTAGTTGGTGGTTATGAACGTGGTAGTAATCCACGTAAAATGTTTCTTTTTCCTGTTGATGATCGAACAAAAGAAACATTGCAAGGTATTATCAAAAACAATGTTCTACCTGGTACATTGATCATCACTGACGGATGGAAGGGTTACCATGGTCTTCAAGATCTTGTAGGATATGATTATCAACATCAAGTTGTTAATCATAAACATAACTTCAAAAATCCTATTACTGGTGCCTGTACAAATGGTGTTGAAGGAAACTGGATGCATGCAAGAAAATTGATGCCTTCCTTAAAAAAAGAAGATGAACTGTTTGGCAATTACTTAATTGACTTCATGTATAGAAAAAGACATAGAGATGCTTTGTATAGAGGTTTTGTTGATGCTTTGAAAATTTAGATTACCAAATATGTTAAAGAATAAAACGATGCTTTTATTGGCTATTAACGGAAAAATATCTTTTTTAAGATTGATCGTTGATTACGACATCGATGTAACGTATCTATGCTATAATCACAAAAAATATAAAAAACAAATGGGGGTTGTGGTATGAATCCTGTTGAATTAGTTCCAAGTGCCAATAATTTATTGAGACAAAAAAAACCACATAATAAAAATAAAGAATAAAATAAAAAGAAAACTAAACTATACGTTTACATAAAGTACATGACTTTTTGTAAATCAGGCTTGATGGCAGCAAAACCGGCCGTTTGAGCACCACTACCCATCGATTCGCTAGCAGCATCAGTATCTTCCCAGTTTTCACCCTTGCAATGGAGACGAGCACGAGTGGCGACCAAATCAGCATAATATAATGGCTGACATTTAGAAACAGACCGAGTGACACGGCCAGAAATATAACAAAGGTGGTAGGTAAGTTTTTGGAGATCATCGGACGAAAAATTGTTGTCATCGTAAAGGACGTGGTAGCGAGTAGGGCGAGGAGTACCTTGGACATCAGCATGGGATTGCAAATCTAAAAAAAAAAAAAAAAAAAATTAATATATCATCCTAATACATGTAATCATCTGAATACTTACAAAAATCAAATTCAAAGGGATGTACGATATCGGTATCCACAACAGTACCCGGTCGGCAGTTGCCACTTTGATCAGTGTCATCGGGCCCAACAGGGAAGAACTGAGCATGATGACATTTTTGAACGACCACAAAGGTGAGAGGAGGCTTGTAAGTCTTATCCAAGGAAGCACAGGCAGCATGGATGGCAGCAACTTCGTTCTTGAGCACTTGATCAAACTGGGATTCAGAAATCCCACCACGGTAAAGCAAGATCTGCTGAGGCCTACGTCTGCGATCTTGAGAGAACCTTTGCAATAATTCCTTGACCATATTGGCTAAATCAGCAATTATTTCAGTATTCTTGGCTTGTATACGGACGGTAGATTCATAACTTGAGCAATCCATACTAGCAGTCAAAGCAACAACGGAAGGTCTGTTCATATCACCAGGGGCAGGATGAGTGACTTTAGCTCCAAAAACGATAGTGTTTCTGCTGTAGATAAAAGGAATCTGGGAACGATCCATAAACAAGTTGATACCACCAAGCTTCATATTCACTTTCAAACATACGTTGGCACAATAATGTTTCTTGGGATCACCAATATGCTCACTTTGGACACATTGAGTAGGAATACCAATAACTATATAGAAAAAAAAAAGATGAGAGATTACGTTATGAAGATCATCATCATCATCATCATCATCACCGTTATTTTTTATATGTTTATTTTACCTGTATCAGAGATACGCTTGATTTCAGCATAAAGTGAAGCACCAGTATTGGGCAAGATACAGAATATCAATTGAGGTTTAGCCTTGGCAGCATTACCAGCCTTCAACCAAGCTTCTTTAAGAGTACGTTCGATATTGCCTTGAGGATTAGCATGAGTAATAGGTGGATTGCGGTTGATGACATTCTATATTTTTAATAAAAGAAAAAAAAATGTTAGTACTCCTCATGATTTTCAATTATTATTTTTTTTTTAAAAAAAAAGGAAAAACGAGCTTACCAATCCAGTATCAAGGAACGTTTGACATAGTTCACGGATAAAACGTTGGATCATATCATCATGTACTTTGCTTGCAAAATTGACAACAGACCACGAACCCAAATTGACACCCTTTGCGACTTTCTTGTCACGAAGGTTCCATGCGCCGCCTGTAGGAGTAAAAGTAGCATCTTGAGATGAAGCATGATAAGAGATCTTTGGAGGAGGAAGAACACGAGCATTGATCATGGTCATATCAGACTTGACATTGACACCAAATTGTTGAATATATGGGTTATCCTTGTATTTGAGAAGATTGACAAATTGATTGATCTTGTTGGCACGGACATTGGATTTCTGGTAAATAAACTTGGTCATCTCAGCAGTTTGTTTTTCATTCAATTTCTTCGTATAGCGTTGGCCAGGAATGACTTCACAAACTTCCATAGGCAAAAAGATATCTTTCTTGACAACAACACAGGGTAAGAAAGGAAAGGCCAAACGTCTATTGTAAGTCTTTTGAAAGTATTGAGCAACCGTAATTTCATTTCCAAGATCATCCTTGAATACAGTATTTTCAACAGAAGTAGGAGTGAGCTTGTTAATCTTGTACTTCAATCGTTTTTCAGCACCACGATGGACAACAACGATCTTGAGATTCTTGAGTATTTTTTCAACTTTGACACGATCACGATCAGGAATACCACGACGAAGATCATCAAGACTGCGGCGGTCAAGTATCTTGGGTAACATTTCATGAAGGGGACCAGATTCATAGAAAGCAGTAGCACTGACATCAACATTGACCATTATTTTGCCTATAAAAATGAAATAAAAAAAAATTAACAAAAATCATAGGATATATCTATATAATATATATTACCCTGAGTGGGACGAGTAGATTGGTGGAAGCCTTGCCATACTTCAGCGCCATTGGATAAAAGAATTTTGTCTTGAGAATTGAAGAAAGAACGACCGATAGTTGGATACATCAAGCTGGGAACTTGGCGAAATAGAACATCAAGAAACTTGATGGCTGTGCATTTTTTTTTTTTTTAAAAAAAAAAAGGAAACCAAAGGTTAATGAAAAGAAAATACAAGATGATGATAATATGCTTTTTTTTTCTTACCAGTGCAACAGTTATTGGTGAGACCAATCCTCCCATCCAAGAAGAACTGTAGTTCATGCATGCTCACTATACCCATAGGCTTGATATTTAGCTTAAAAGTGCCATCAGAACGGTTTCCTTGTTGAAGATTGATCTATAAACGAGAACAATGATGAATATGACAGAACTAATGAAAAAGGATGATCGGAAGAGATAATAATATATGATAAAAAAAAAGGTGGTATCGAGAAGGTATTTTTAAGTGAACTTACTTCAAAGGATACTCCAAGATTATTGCAATCACATTGTAGAGGAATAGATGAAAAAAGATTTGAATGGCCATCATATATCGCCTTGGTGCTGTTAAGGAATATTTGACCTATTTCACTATCTTCAAAGTAATGCCACACCTTTCTGAGAACAGCAGGAGGATAACCGTCGGGTAAGACTTGTGCATTAAAATGATATATATTTTGGGCTGGAAGAGTAGTCACTTCAAAGAAATTGCTTCGTACACGTACTGGTGTACCCACTTCACCAACAGCGGGACGCATAACAAATTGAGTCAAATTTCGGTTGAATGCTTGAGCCATCATATTTGATTGATAATAAAACGTATAAAAAAGTAAAGTAAAGAAAAGGAAGAAAGGAAGAAAGAAAGAAAGGAAAAAAAAGGGAACAAAGACTTTTTTATGTCTACTTGATCGGAGTTTGTCTAAACAATCCTGCAAATCAACCAATTACAGATTCAGTACCTTTTTATATACAGGTATATTTAACAAAGGATATGAATTGGTTTTTTATCTGTTAACATTATTATCTAAGAAAGCATGATGATGATGATGATGATGATGATGATGATGATTACATGATATGAGGAATGGATACATAAAGAGCTGACATCGATACCACTGGTTTCGTGAATAGTTTCCCTATCTTCATTGAAAACCAGAAATAGGGAATAAAAAAGACAAGGCAATCGATTCATTTTCCATGGATTGATATTCATCGTCAACGTTTTATTTTTATTTTCTACCTTCAAAATGAATGGAGTTATTGTATATCGCTGAATCATCATATATGTTTAGTCACCTCCTTTTACTTTTTTTTCAAAAAAAAAAAAATAGACGAAGAAACGTGCATACAAAGACAATGAAAATAATGCAGCGCACATACAAGGTGAACTGTTTTAAACTTATTTTTTTTTCGGATCACATGTCTTCCTTTTTAATTCGACTTACATGCAAAGAGAAAGAAAAAAAAAAAAACGGTAAATACTGATGGAAACTGTTGCCTCGGTGTATATAGATACTAAAATGGAAATGGGACAGAGTAAGAACTAGAGGGTATCCTTATATTATTTTTTTATTAAAAAGAGTTATTAGACAAACTATCTTGCACTATTCTGAGAAATACGTAATACTGGATTTATTTCCATCCCTTACTTTAGTTCGATCACCAGGAGTGATTTATTTTCTTCTTTTATTTTGGTAACACAGTAACATAGAGATCACTTATTTCATGCCTCTATTTTCTGTGAATATCATTGATCATCATAGAGTAACCGCTTTTCGATGTTTCTTGATCATTTTATATCACTAATGTTAGACTATAGGCAGAGTGATTTTCAAAGTTCGTATTTTTAACATTAGACTGTTACAATTCATGATTCAGCTTGATCTTTTTCCTAACGTGAACGTTTTCTCTATTCTTTTTTTTTTTTTTTTTTTTTTGCTATGCCATCAAAGTGATTCTCAATATATGATGGAATTATCTCTATTATGCTGTTGCAATCGCCATTCTTCACCCTTCATCGGATGCTAGTGTACGCTTTGGAACAATGAAATATTTTTCTCCTTCAGTTTTTTAGAAAGAATATAGAAATCATCCAAAAAAAGAACAAAGAAAAATAACCAGTATGCCTTTCCTTTTTGGCAGCGCTTGATCCCAATCGAGTGACATTCATATAAAAGGGACATCAAATTCCTTATTCCTCTTTTTTTTTTTTTTTTTTTTTTTTTTTTTTTTTGCTTCATTTTATATACAAATAAGTTTTAATACTGTATTTTTTTATAACTGAATATGGTACCTGATACTAAACACGTTACTGCTGGACGACCTCCTCCAAAGAATTCTGTCTGGGGAACTTCAGAGTTAGCAACTACACCGTTCTGGGAAGAAAGTGGCCTTGGTACTTGGAAGTATACACCAAAAGTAGACCCACCAACTCCTCAAGCTCAATCATCACCAACCTCGGTTTTTTCTTCTCGTTGTGAAACTGCCGCTTCCAAATATGCTACTCCAGCTCCAGCTCCAACTCCATTTATTGCTGCTTCTGCTCCATCACCAACAACGGTTCATGGTACCGTCTCATTATCCGATCCTGAATCTGTCAAGCCTGCTGTCAAAGTATTTTTACAGCTCAACATTGAATTGCATCCTGGTGTTAGTGCAGTCCTTCTATTTTATGAAACCAATGATTATCGACTATTAGTACGTGAATTTGCCGCAAGACATGGCCTCACAATCACTTCTGAAGCTGAAAAGTCCTTTGCGCAAAACATTGGACAAATGATGGCGAATATACGACAGCAAAAACAACGTCAATAACTATGATGATGACAGTTTAGTTTAGTTTGGTTTTTATATTTTCTGTTTGATGATTTAATAAAAAGCAATTTTATATCTATATTATTGGTGTGATCGTGTCGTTTTTAATCTGAGCGCGCCCTGAAAAAATCGCATGATGGTGTAAAAATAGTTCTGTTATAAAATTTTTTTTTCCATTCCCTTTCACTTCTTTTTCTTTTCCTTTTTGTCACAATTTTTTTTTTTTTTCGTATGTTATACATTTATCTTTTAATACAAACTAAAGCAGGTATGAGAATAATAATAAAAGAAAAAGACTTTTATAATACCATTGTATTCATGAACTGACTTAATCATTCTCTTTTATCGCCTGTGCAATGGCGTCTAGACAAAACAAGTGAACGCAAGTATCTTTATAAACTGTTATATGCTATATTACTCATGTTTATTAAGATAAGTTCATTTCATTATACCACCATGTTATATGATGTTGATCTCATCTTTCTTTTATTTGAATCTATACTCTAGATACGGATATGACGATTGAAGTGCAACAAAAGAAATAATGATTCTGTTCTTTTTAACCTTTCCTTCCTTTTATACACGAATCATTCCAACCTCTTTACTATATCCTTTTCTCTATGTGCTTTTACAGACACTCACTCTTATTAGTTGTAAGTTTCAAAAACAAGTGCTCTCCCTCTTCTTATTTCTAACTTCACTTTTTTTTTTGACTATATCACTATATCACTATGAGAAAAGATCTGAAATAAAATTTATTTTTCCTAAATACTTTATTTTGTTTCCTGACTCGATTTAATACAGACATTCTTCATTTCTGATTTTTCTGAAATGCATTCAGTCGTTTTCCAAAGTAAATTAGATTTGATTCCAGAAAACCTAACTTCAGAGGACAACAATATACAGTCATCGGCCATTATAGACAAGAAAGGGATTTTATTTCATTGATATAGCCATACTACATAACTATACTACATAACTATAGTAATAAATATCTACACTATAAGGATAAACGTTTCACCAGTACGACCAGGACCAACTTATACCACCTTCCAAGATAATGATCATGACTTTCACTTTGTGTATAACTATTTTATTTGAAGCGAGTCGATCTTGGCTTGATTGTATAGTTTGCAACCTACAGATAAAATTAACAAGCAGTAATCCATCATAATCCATCAACATCACTCCTTTTTTCTTTTCTTTTTTTTTTTTCTATATAAATGTTACCTTGGCTTTATCATTGAATGTTTGCCCATCACCATTATTATGTAGACGATAAGCTAGCAAGCTATGGATAAAATCAACAAGATGAGTAGTAATCCATCAATGTTTATTTCTTTTTGTTTTCTTTTTTCTTTTTTTTTTTCTATATAAATGTTACCTTGGCTATATCATTGGATGTTTGCATCATCTCTATTATATAGACGAGAATCTAGCAAGCTATGGATAGAATCAACAAGATGAGTAGTAATCCCTCAATGTTTATTTCTTTTTCTCTTCTATATAAATGTTACCTTGGCTATATCATTGAATGTTTGCATCATCTTTATTGTATAGACGATAATCTAGCAAGCTACAGATAAAATCAACAAAATGAGTAGTAATCCATCAATGTTTATTTCTTTTTCTTTTTTTTTTCTATGTACAAGTTACCTTGGCTGCATCATCGAATGTTTTGTACCACCAGTAAATCCAATGTCATCATAACAGTTGGCTCGGAGAGAAATAAAGGCTTGCCAAATGCAGATATCAGACAATTTCAGATCATCAAGAAAAGATAGTTGTATCGTCCTTACGTGTAGCGCTCACTATCAGTCATTGACATGATCCTCAATAATCTTTCCAAAACCAAATAACGCAAATGTCAGGACTTACAAGGATTCCGGTATGAAACAAACACGATCAACAGACAATAACTGAATTTCCTACGTGTTGCATTTTGCCCTCCACCTACTTGAGCACAAAATTCAGTCACTAGATTCATAAACGATTCTAGAAATTGATCATCCTCGACCAAGTCCATTGCCCGTAAACAAACAAAGATCAATACACCATGATCTTCGCTTGACCAAATGTTAAGTATAAAGTAATGATGACCATCCGACATTTGATTGTATAGACCGCTATCCTGATATCTAACAGATAATAAAAAAAAATAAACACAGTGAGTAGTAATCCATCGATTTATTCACTTTTTTTTTTTTATGTATATATATTACCTTGGCTACATCAGGCGCCGATATTGATATACCAATCATAAAAACCAACACCAAAGAGATAACCAAAAGTACTTACGTATAGTATACGTTGTTGACTTTTTGTCAAAGAGAATGGAGATAACCAAAAGAACAGGGGCAGTAGCCTAAGACCACGAGAGAGAATGATAATAGGGAAACACTATATCAAGTGGGAAAAAACAAAGGACAAAGACCAACAATGCAGGAAGAAAGATCTTGAAGAAAACAACACCACAATGAGAGGGAGAGAGAAAGAGAGTCCAACCAAATAGAAAAAAAAATAAGATGAGCCACCTCTTGTACTTTTTGTTTCAAGATGTTTTGTGATTTCTACCACTTCTTCTATCAGGAATCGCACCAATTCTTTTAATTCAGTACTAAACGGTAATGGTATCCAAAGTGTTCTTCAACCAATATTTGGCTTGATAATGCTTGTGGGAATATGGAGGGCACAGAATGAGCTACAGTTTGTCATGTTAAAAAAAACAAGTGAATTAAACAAGAAAGAAAAGCGAAGAAAGGAAATAGAGTGGATTTTCCCTTTATGCTAATGACTGACTTTGAATCGACTTACCATTCTTTTTCTCTTTGATTTTGTACCTGAAATGCATTCCATTTTTACGAGATCCATTTTATTTCAAGACGAAATCAATTGAGGAAATCTAAATTTGGTTTTGTAAAATAAAATGAAGTTCATATTTCCGGAATTGATTTTATGATAGGAAATTTATTTTGGGTTTATGACATTGATTTCATTTTCAAATGAAATGTTTCATGAAAGAATGGGAAAACGAAATCAAACGAGCTTCATTTCAGAAAATACTGAATAGATTTAGGAAATACGAAAAGGATTCCGTAAAATGTCGGAAATCTGATATTGCTTTTCCCATAGTGATCATATTACTTTATCATGTCGTTACATTCTTGACGATAAATAAAAGTACAAGTTAATGGCAACTCGATAGTACTCTTAAAAAGAAAGGAACAACGCTATTTTTTTTACCCTCTCACCCACCCTTTTTTATTTATATAAAATAATAGTAATAATAATAATAGTAATAATATAATAGTAATAATATATAATAATAATAGTAATAATAATAATAGTAATAATAATAATAGTAATAATAATAACAATAATAATGATATGTACAGTATATATGTAAAAAGTATAAATACAACTAAAAGGAATATAAAAATGACATAAAAAATACAGGAACTAAAAGAAAAGACCAGCAAACCGAGAACCAAATTCTGTTCGCAATCCGTCAATGCACAAGGATTCAGCTGCTCGGACCATAGCTCCTTTGCTGACCTAGAAATATATAAATACATATATGTAGTATAGTCAGAACCATCTATTTTTTTTTTTTTTTGTTACCTTTGTAAGATAGCTGTCCGGGTATAGGTCGGCCAGACAAAGAATCCATGGCCCTCCAGCGGCTTCGACCAAATCACCATAGATACTACATTTTTTTACCATATCGTTGATTTTGGTCATAGCGTCATCTTTGTCTTCGTCGGCGAGATGTTGCCACTATGATGGATAGATATTAAAAGGTATTTCTTTTTCGTGAGTAGTTTTGCAACCTTTCCGTGCGTATTTCATATATTTTACTTACCACAACGGGAAAGGAAAGCGGAATAGGTGAGTTTACTGATGTTCTTGAGGTGATGGAACCTTTTTTGATATTGGAACATTAACGCTGCTTGGTGATAGTGGTTTGAACAGCGTATTGTTGGTAGTTGATGATGGTGTTTGCCAAATCAATAAGGTCCGATGGCGCTACTGCTGTTGTTGCTGCTGGTACTATTGCTGTTGTTGCACTTGTTGTTGTTGTGTTGTAGTTGGCGCTGCTGTTGTGCCTGTTGTTGCTCCTGAAAGTAAATTTTGGACTAGTTGCCCGTAACTATCAATTCTTTCTACACTGTTGGCAATGGTAATGAATGTTGCTGGCGTTGGTAACTATTATAATTTCAAAGGATTTCAAGTTAGAATTTTTTTTTTTTTTTTTTTTTTACTTACTTTTGGTTTGATTCCACGATAGCTTGGATCATTGTTAATTCTTTTTCTTTTGGTTGGTTGTTGTTGTGATTGTTGTTGTTGTGATTGTTGTTGTGTGTTGTGTTGTGTGTTGTTGTGATTGTTGTTGTGATTGTTGTTGTTGTGATTGTTGTTTGATGTTGTTGTTGTTGTGTTGATTGTGTTGTTGTGATTGTTGTTGTTGTTGTTGTAGCTGCTCTCTTTCTTTTGTAGTCGTTGTTGTTGCTGTTGTAACTGTTGTTGTTGCTGTTGTAGCTGCTCTCGTTTTTGTAGTCGTTGTTGCTGTTGTAGCTGTTGTTGTTGTCGCTCTGATTGTGATGATTGAGCTCTTGCTGCTGCTCTTGCTGCTGCTCTGCTGCTGCTCTTGTTGCCCGCGTTCCTGCTGATGCTAATGAGGAAGATGAAGATTCTGGTTGTTGAGCCATGATTTTGTACTGCGGTCCACCTGTCATTACTTGGGCAAAGATATTGCCATTTTTGAAGACCCCACGATAGCCCCCCTTTCTCAATGCATTGTTTATATTGGAGAAAAAAGATTTGGCTGTTTAAATGAAAAATTAAAATACACATAAAAAAATTAGAATTGTTTTTTTCGTTTATATATATATATATGTTGGTATACGTACGATCAGCTTTGAGATCCTCGTAGTAATCGTTCATTATTGTTGTCAGTAAAGAAGTAGTAATATATAAAAAAAAGAGAAAGAAGAAAGGTGAGAGTAAAAAAAAGTGAAAAAGTAAAGAAAAGAGAAAGGACGAAAAGAAAT